ATCTTAAATGTTAATACAGTTTCCTTTCTCTTTTGTTTGTCAGCGTAGGAAATCTTTTTATTTTGATCTATCATTTTTTTTTCTTGATGAGACCCTTCAGATTTGAAAATAAAGCTACTTAGCTGTAAACAGAACTGGTCATATGCGTAAGATATGGATCTTATTCAAATTTGTGTAAAATAATTCTTGTGGTAACCAAGTTAGTAGCTTAATTCATTTTAGTTTCTTTGTAGATTAATTCTTTTAAAACTGTATTTTATAATTTACTCTGCCTGTAGTTTTGCCTTTTCTATCTTTTCTTCCATGGATATTCTTTGGAGTATCCTTTTTAATGGGAAGATGATAAGCAAGATTAAGAGGCCCGCAGTATGAGGATAAGATAATGAACATTGTTTTGGAAAGGACGAAGATCTTGTAACATTGTATACTGTGGTGTTTTTAAATGTACTATTTTGTTTAATTTGATATCATGGGTGCCTTAGGTGTACACACTTATAGGTGTGCTTTTGCTAACTTAATACGTAACAACCAATACCATTGATAGGAGAGTATTCTGGAATGACATGAATTTCTTGAGTATATTGGGTTAATAATGAACAAGATAAGTTTGGAGAACTGCAGGTATATGTTTTCTACAGCAGGGTGTTTGTGTCGGGGAAACCACAAGGCAGCTTTGAAGCTACCTGAATTTTCTTAATTGACTGGATAAGTTGAGAGTAGAGATTGAGAAGGAAGGTGCTGGGGGAAGGCTGGGTTTGATAGTAACTGATAAAATGCCTTGCTAGTCACAGCTGTGCTCCTGTGGTGATAGGATGGTGATCCTGATCTGTTGGTCTGGGGACCGTGCCTGTTGAACCTTGCTTTCCTGGGATGGTACCTTAGCTCCCAGACCCCTGTCCTCACAGGCTCGTGTTGTTGGATGATAGGTGATGGGGTCTTCCGACAGGTTATTTATTGTGTTATTGAGGATTACCTGTGGAGAGGACACGGTTTTTCTTGTACGTATATTGTTATTTGTTTTCCTGTTTAATAGCAATAACAGCAAAATTCGGGTAAGCCATATGTATGTTAAACTTAAGATTTTAAAGGTTTGGAATCAGAATACTGCAGCTTCCATGCTGTTGTTTTGTTTTTTTTTGTGTGTGTGTGTTTGGTTTTTTTGTTTTTTTTTTTTTGGTTTCACTTAAATTTTGTTTTTGGGGGAGAGTGCAAGGGGATGGGGGGATGAGTGGGATCAGGTTGCATGATGTGAAATCCACAAACAATTAGTACAAAGTTAAAAAATTCTTGGTTAGCATGCATTAATTCTATATGTTATATGCATATTATATGCTAGTTAACATATAAATATATACAAACCCAATTATTGATGCCTAGATAACAGTTAATATATTTTTTAATATGTAATTCTATATTTTAATCTCATTTGTCAATATCTATGCATTTAATGTTGTATTTAAAATATTTTCTGTACCAATGTCTTGAAGATTTGTTTTCCTCTAATATTGTCAGTCTTAATATTTAGTTCTTTGATCCATTTCAAATTGAGTTTTGTGCAGGGTGAGAGATGGCCTCATGTTTAAATCTTCTGTGTTTAGATGTCTACTTTTCCAGCACCACCCTTTATTGGAAAGACTTCTCCATTCTTCAGTGAATATTTTGGGGCCTTGTCAAGAATTACTTTGGCTGCAGACAGTATATTTCAGGGATCAGTATTGAGCTCCATTCATTTGTGTGTCTGTTTTTATTCAGACCTCACATTATGTTGCCGACTCCGATTGTATAGTGTAGCTATTTCTTAAATTCAGGTATTGTGATGTCTCAAGCTTTGTTCAATTGTTCAGATTTTTTTTTGTGTGTGTGTTTCTGCACTAACTTTTAGGATTATTTTTTATAGCTTCATGAAGGATACCATTGGCATTTTGACAGGGATTGCATTGAATTTGTAAATTGCTTTGGGGAGCTATGGATATTTTAACTATTAATTCTTTCAATACTTGAACAGGGGAAAATTTTCAGTATTTTTATGTCTTTCATTCTTTGTTAAGATTTTGTACTATTTATTGTAGAATTCTTTTACTTCCTTGGTTAAATTTGTTTCTGGGCTTTTATTTTATAGCTATTGTTATGAGCGTGCTCTCCTGATTTTCTCACCTTTCTCTCTGGTGTATTAAAATGCTTGAGTCAGCTAGCTATAAAGTTCAATAGTAGAGCATTTTCCTAACATTTGTAACACCCTGGGTTTGATTCCCAGGACCACCAAAAATCAAATTCAAATGCTGTGGAGGCACTTTGTTTTCTTGTGAGAGAGGATATGATACGATCGTATCGTAATGGTACGATAGCTCTAGAACTCATTGTGTAGCAAGGCTCACCTCGATCTACTGATCCACTTGCCTCAACTCCCCAAGCATTGCAATTACAGGTTTGTGCCATTGTGCCTGGTTGCAGTGAGTTTTGTATGTTGGCTTTGTATCCTGCAACATTATTGAATTCTTTTATTTTTGGTTGTGAGCCTAGCCTTTAACGGCTGAGCCATCTCTCCAGCCCTTGAATTCTTTTATTAGTTCTAATAGTCTTCTGGTGAAGTTTTTAGGATTTTCTGCATGTAGTGTTAGATCATCTACAAATTAGGAAAGTTCGACTTCATCCCTGTCTAGTTGTATATCCTGTATTTCTTTCTCATGTTTAATTGGTTTAACAAAAATTTCTGGCACTGTATTCAATGAAAGTTATAAGCGTAGACACCCTCTTCTTGATGACCAGTACTTCTGTGTACTGTGGCGAGATTTTATAATTGTAATTGAGTCATTATGAGATGCAAATTCTGTTCTCATTATCTACCATTCTGTCTTTAATCTCATTTAACAAATTTTTTTAGGCTATTTCAGTCCTAGAATCTCAGTTTTTTATTTTCCTGAATTTTTTGTTGGCTTTATGGATATTGCTTAGTGTTATATTCCTTGCAAGCATGGTTATAAGTACTACTTTAAAATCTTTGCCTACCAATTCAAACATCTGACCTACTGTGAAGTTCATGTACATTCACTACATTTTTTGTCTTCCTACCCCAAGAATGGAGCACACATTTTATGGATTTGTTTGTCTATGTAGTATATAAAAAAAATCTATCCTGGGCCTGATGAATATCATACTGATAATACAATTGTGTTATCTCCAGTAATATGATCTTAAGCCTTTGTTTTAGCAGTGTATTAACTTGGCTTGAGGTTGCAGAGCACTTGTATTTAGGCGGGCAGCTGAAATTTTGATTTCATGCTTTCATTCTTAGTTATTTAGAATTTGCTGTTCTTAAGATGATTTAAGATTCAGACAGAGCTTTTTACATATACAATTTTTTGATATCACAGAGTTGGGCATATAGCTTAGTGGTTTAGCACTTACCTCGAATTTTTGGATATCATCTTTGACTTTTTCTTACAGGATTCACCTTTCATTGTCTTTTTTCCAGTTGGTCTTTGATGGTTTTTCTAATCGGAGAGTTTTTTGTTAGGTTTATCTGTTCTGGGTGTACAGTCTTGAGTTTACCTGTGGAATGGAAGCTTATAAAATGCCAGCTTTCTCATTACTGCTTACTTTTCAATAATTTGTATCCCATCCCACCCCCAGCAAAATCTTGCTTTTGGTCGCTTTCCTGGGCCTTCTTATAGTTGTTTTAGGTATCTATAGGATTATGAGTCTACTAGAAGAATTCTTGTCAATACTCTGACCAGGTCTCTAAATTCATTACTTCTTAGCACATAATGTATCATACCTAATAAAATGATTCATTTTATGTGATTCACTGGGTTGGAATGAGTTAATGGTCTTACTTGTATGTTGAGAAAATAGAAACAATAGTGGATAGATAAAAGAGATCCTAAGGATAATGAAAACACTGTTTTTATGGATCCTGTTGTTAAATACATTTGATTTGTTCTGTTATTTGAGGAGACTTAAGGCTTTATTTGAATGTTTGAGACTCTTGTTTTCCTCTTCCTCGTCCCCTGTGGGGCTGTTTATCTGTTCTAGCATCTCAGGAGACCGAGGCACATTGAGTGCTGGACTTTAGAAGTTCAAGACTAGTCTGAGTAACACAGGGAGCCTCTATTGCAAAAACATCCAAAGACAACAGCAAAACAGCAAGCCTTTTACTTGCTAACGTGTGTGTGTGTGTGTGTGTGTGTGTGTGTATGTGTTGCACTCACCTGTGTAAGCAAATGTGCAAGCCAGACATTCATGTGAGGATGTCTTCCTCAGTCAGTTTTCTATTTTACTTTCTGAGAGAGATTCTCTCATTGACTTTAGAGCTCACCGTTTGACTAGATCAGTCAGCAAGCAGGTTCCAGAATCTGCCACAATTCACCTGTCTCCACCCCTCAGTGCTGAAGTTATAGATGTTGGCCACCATGCCCAGCTTTGGATGTGAGTGCTTGGGATCTGAATTTTGGTCCTCATGTTTTCATGACGAGCACCCTACCCACTGAGCCGTCCTCCTGACCTCTATTTGCTAACGTTTTTTTCCTTAGCATGAACACAGCATGTTGTATCTAAAGTCATATGTTGTACATAAAGTCAGATGATTAAAGTAACATATCAGTAATCACACACTTCTTTTTTTCTCTCTGTCTCCTCCAGCCGAATACCTGAAGATACTTCCTCAGCAAATTTACATTGTAGAAATATTGCTAATTATAGTTAAGATTATAGTCTTAAATTTTACTCAACTTACATGACAATCTTTTATCCTATTATATGTAGCTCAGAAGTTCTCCTCTAACATTTTAATTGTACCTTAATTTCCTTCAAGATTGACACCATCTATATTTCTTCCTATAATTTTAAGTGAGAGTGATCATGTATCTTTCATATACTTGCTTTGCACAATTAATTTTGGGTTCTAGAATTGAAACTAAGTAATTTTGAGTAATTTCGAAGGTCAAATTACATTTTTAACTAAAGGCAGACTAAATCTATTTAATAAACTCTGTTCATCGTAGGTCCAGATCAAGACCTCGTCCACGTTCCCACAGTCGAAGCAGTGAAAGGTCCAGTCACAGAAGAACCCGTAGCAGGTCTAGGGAGAGAGAGCGACGGAAAGCCCGGGACAAAGAGAAGAGAGAGAAGGAGAAGGAGAAAGGCAAGGACAAAGAAGTGCACGGCATCAAACGGGGGTGAGTTGATGAGACTGCTGCGGTGAGGAGTGGGGATTCCACAGCAGTCTGCAAACCCAACTGCTGCTCTGAGTGCTTCCTGTTCCCACCGGTGTGGGTAAACTCCTTTCAGAGTGAACGAAGGGAAGGGCTTGCAGGATCTTCCATGTTTCTTGAAGTAATTTTTCTCTAAAAAATTATTTAGTTAATTTTAATAACAGCTTGTAACTCTTCTTACATCATTTTCTGGTTTTTTTTTTGTCTTTATTTTTAAAAAGAATTTTTAAAAAAAAATCATGTATATGTGTGTGTCTGCATGGTGGTACATGCATGTCTTAGGAGGGTCTCTATTGCTGTGAAGAGACACTATGACCATAGTAACTCTTATAAAGAAAAATATTTAATTGAGGTGGTGGCTTACAGTTTTAGAGGTTCAGTCCATTCTCATCATGGCAGGGAGCATGGCAGCGAGCAGGCAGATGTGGTATTGGAGGAGTAACTGAGAGTCCTGCATCTTGTAGGCAACAGGAAGTTAGGTGAAATAATGGATGGTATCCTGAGCATAGGAAACCTCAAAGTCTGCCCCCACAGTGATACGCTTTCTCTAACAAGGCCATGCCCACTCTGACAAAGCCACACTTTCTAAAAGTGCCACTCCATATGAGACTATGGGGCCAATTACATTCAAACTACCACAGTACACTTGTGTTCAGGTACCCAAGAAGGCCAGAGAGGGTATGAGGGGGGCATCTGATACTCTGTAACTAGAATTACTGGCTCTGGTCCTCTCTAAGAGTTTCAAGTTCTCCTAACTCCTGAGCTGTGCTCCAGATCCTTTATGCTTAACTTTTATGTCATATTTACAGTAGTGGTGTGGAGCCCTGTCTGGATTGTTGGCTTTTAAAGACTTTCTGAAATGTTAATCTTGTGGCAAAAGTTGAAAAGATGAGTAAATTATTATGTAATTTTTCTTGATCATCCACTACTATCCTAGAAAAATTAAAGTTCTACTCTTAGAAAGTTATAAGAAAGGAGATAGGGGTTAGATATTATATAATTTCTTTTCTCATTGCTTTTCTCATACCTGACATTTATAACATTTGCTTTCTAAGAATATTTTATCTTTTAACCATCGGTACATGTTTTTCTTGCTTCTGTTCATTTTTCTCCCAAATTTTAAGAACTTATAGGTATCTTATTCTTAGACAATTGTTCTTAGAAGGTGAAATTTCTCTAACATGAAAACATTTTTCTTCTTACTATTATTGTATTGAAATAAGATCTAACATTATTTTGTTAAACTATTTTTTTTGAGAACTTCACACATGAGCACATCTAAATCACTCTTGCCTCTCCCTCCCCCCAACTCCTCCTTTGTCCCCCAACCCCCTCCCACATTCATGGCTGCTTCTTTAATTATTGTTGTTAAATTGCATGTATGTACAACATATTGAGTCCATTTAGTGTTGCTCATATGTACATGTGTCCAAGACTAAATATTTGGAATTGAACAACCTATGTGGGAGCTTATCCCTGGAAACAATTGTTTCTTCCTCTCTCAGCAGCCAGTGACTGTAATTCTTCATCTAGGGATGAAATCTTGAAGAATTTCTCCTATCCATATTGGCATGTTAACTGATGTTATTATGCAAATCTTATACAGGAAGCATATTGTTGAGGTTCTTTGGTTCAGCTCCCCTCTTATATGTAGAAGACATCTCACAGCAGGGCTCCAGTCCTCTGGCCCTTGGAGTCCTTCCTGCCACTCTTCTGTGATGCTCCCTAAGGCTTAGGTGGAAGAGTTGAATTGCAGATGTGTCACTTGGGGTGTGGCACGCTGTGATCACTTACTCTCTGAATTTTGGCCACTTGTGGATCTCTATAGTAGTCTCCATCTATGCAAAAAGAAATACTTTCAATGAGAGGTGAGGGGCCACATTGTAGGTGTATGTATAACTATTTAGAATAAAATTAGAAATTATATTGGTTAAGGAAAATGGCAGTAATAGGTTCTCTTCTAGGGTCTCTGACCTTCCAGCCACAGTTATTAACAAGTTTTACAGTACCATGCATGTATTCCTTCCCATTGAATACGCCTTGAGTCCAATTATACACTTGTTGGTCACCCCCAAGATAATATACCATTATTGTTTCACTGGGGATATCTTACCACTTATATCTCAGACTATTACTGAAAGACAATGCTCAGAAATTTGAAACATCACAGGGTCTCATACTTGCAACTTGGTGTGATGATGCTGAACATTATGTATCCCAGCAGCATCACTCATGGATTAGTATATGAGGTTTCTTTACCAGCATCTTGATCCACATGCAATAATATATAGTTAACCTCTTTAGAACATCTTTTGGAGCAGTTTAGAAAATTGTAAATAGGCACCATTCTACTGTTCTGAAATCAAAGTGCCATCTTCAAGAGTAGAATACAAATGGACTTAATTTAAATCCATCGTCAATCATTATTTAAATCACTATGCAGAAAAAGAACAATTGCTTTTGTGGTGGTTATTGAATACTGATATATTTTGAATGTCTTTTCTCCCCAGCCCACCAAATTAGATATTTGGAGATTTGGTGCAGTATTGTTAGGACATAAGATCTTTTCAGAGGTGATTAAGCCAAGAAGACTTTGCTTTATTAAATGGATTAATATTTTTATGGCAGAGTGGGATTTGTTACTGAAGTAGTAGATTACCTGAAGTATTTTCTTGACCTCTGTTTACCTTTCTGTTATGAAATAGCAAAGAAAGCCCTTCCAGAAGCCAGCCAGCCATGTGTGACTACTTGGTCTCTAAATTCTATATCAATAAGTTTCTGTTCATTTTAAAGAATCAGGTCTTTGGGATTCTACTGCAGTTGCACAGAACAGAGCAAGACATCAACTACAACGTTATCATGTTACTATGAGTCAAGCTAGGATTCATGAGGAGCAGTTAGTTTTCCTAAGATGATCTGCCCTGCGGAGGGTTTTGCCATTATCTCTTTACTAGTGCCTCAGTAGACAAGATACTGCTCTAGGTTAAACACCAAGGTTTCTGGAATAATCTGCTCCAACATTTGGACTTAAGTTTATACATTCTAATGATAACTTTCTGAACTTTATACTTTCTGATAAAGTTAAGAATTTCTGTCTGATTATATAATTGATTCTTCTGTAAAATGGGAAGTTGGTACTTTAAAAGCTTTAAGCATAGAAGCAGGTGTAAGAGCACTGTTACAATATAATAATCATAACTTAGGGATATAAGGTACACATCAACCTTGGCAGCGTTCCAGTGTTTGCAACTTTGAATTCCATGTGTAATTCCTGTTGAGAACGTATTTTCCCCCCTCTACCTGATGTTTGGCAGAAAATGTTGGAAGTGATTTGAGAAAGCTGGACTCTGAGTTTTGACAGCAGTTGCATACTTACAAAGCCTGTCATGTTTTTCCTTACCTCTTACTTCTTTATGCAGCAGGAAGTCACTTATGCTAATTTACTCTAATTTGCATATAGGTTATAGAGTTCTGTGGTGCAGAGCATGCTTAGAACTCCTTTTAAGTGTCTGTTTGGATCAAAGCAGGGCTGTGTGATAGCTGTTGTCTGACACCAAGCTGTGTGGTGTTGTTTTCATTAAACATTTATCACACTTCCAATGTGACAGCAGGCAACTTTGTGCCAAGATAACATGTTTTCATGCAAAATTTATTGAAAAAGATGAGACTTTGTAAAAAGATCTTGTTGCCTTTCACCAGTGGCGAAGGGTAAATGTTTGGTTAGAAAGTAGTATACCTTGAACACGTGTCATCGTGACAAAAAGAAGCTTCATACTGGTAGCTTTATTAAGCAGGTAAACAAATCTATCTTTAAAGAAATACATGCTCTGGACTCTTCTCTTTCAAATTAAAGTTTTTGTGATTTTCTTGTTTATTGATTTTCACAACTGTGGCCTATTCTGTTGGGTATATGTTTATGTTATAATGAAATATCACATCCTGGTTCCCACTATGTAAGTTTGAGTGTTAGATTTAATTCAACCAAAACAACTTGTCAATTTTTCAAAAAGATGAGGTCAAGAAAGGGAGCATACTATGACACAAAAGCAAAACTAGATAAAAGCTTGATTAGTTCTCCCTCGGGCCAACACCTTTCTCTTATTCATTATATTAATATAGTTTAATTATTACATAGTTAAATATTACATACTATCCAAATCCAATGGATTTGACATAGATTATGCCTGATGAAGGTTTTAATGGCAGAAATTGTAGGTTTATGTTTTTTAAGGTGATTGCCTGGCCATGAAAAGCCTTAAAACAGTGCTTCTCCACCTTATGCTGTGGCCCTTTAATACAGTTGCTCATTTTGTGGCCTGTGGGCATGTCTACACAGGGTGTTGACTTGATTAATGGTCCTTGCAGAAAGGCCCAGCTCACTGTAGGCAGTGTCACCCCTGGGTGGGTGCTCCCGGGTGTAGAAGAAAGCAAACTGAGCATGGCATGGGAGCAAGTCATGGGGAGCCATGCAGGGAGCAGTGGTTCCCCTATGGTCTCTACCTCCGTTCCTGCCTCTAGGTTCCTTCCTTGAGTTTCTAACTTGTCTTTCCTCAACAATGGTATGCAGGAGTAAGCCAAATAGACCTTTTCCTTTTTGACAGTGGTTTTGCTCAGTGTTATCATAGCATCAGAATGCAAACCAGGACTATACTTTTTCCTCACTTCTTTGTCTTCGTGAAGGTTGCCCCCTCAGCATGAAATACTTTTTTCTCTACCTTTCTTCATTTCCAGCTCATCTTTTAGATGTTGATTCATTCATAAAATAGTCCCTGCTCCTCAAGAGTAAGCTAAGTAACCGTCTTGTTAGCTACTAATAGAATTTTGCCAAATCTGAAGAGAATTTTGTAATTTTGTAACTATAAAGTACCTTGCATATCTTAGTCAAAATTGTATTTATTTAGATTTATTTATTAAGTACACATTTATATAATGAATAATAGATTATTTTAGATGCTGTTTATAGG